CTCGGCCTCCCAAAGTGCTGGGATTACAGGCGTGAGCCACTGCGCCCGGCCTCGAAACACTTTTCAAGCCACGCACTCTCCTTTCCGCTTTATGGATGAGAAACTGAGTCATAAAGAGGTGAAATGGCCAGTAAAGGTCAAAGGACAACTCGTTCTTTCGGCTCAGGCTCCGGGTAGGTCAGGCGCCCCGACCTCGCTGGGAAGTGACTATGTGCCAGGATCCTAGCTCCCGAAAAATGCACACCGAGTCCGCCGCAGGCGTCCTCGCCCACCGGGAAGCGAATAGGAAACGGCGATCTTCAGTCTTATAACGCTGCCCCCCCCCCACCATTCCCCTTGGTTTGTGATCAGTAATTTTCCAGCTGGGAAATGTTTTGCTCTCATCTTCTCAGCAAACAGTATTTTTTTTTTTAAACGTGAATGTGGTGTTCGGTATCACTTTCTAAACGTAGGCTTGGCGAGGTGTTTACTTTGGATTCGGGCGCGCGGCGCGGGGCTCCGCCCCCCTCTCCACGGAGCCCCCCTCACCGGTGAACGCTGGCGCTTAGCCTGGTGTGAACCTAGGAAAGAAAAGGGAAGGGAGACTGGGGAAAGGGATGGAAGCTCGGGCACCGGGCAGAGAGTGCGCTCACCCCTTTTTGAGTTCTAGTTGCCAACGTCCTTTGTCGTTGTCACCTGTTTGAACCCTGCGATTCTGGTACCTATTAGGTTTCCTCAGAATATTTGTGATACCTGATTTTTCCACTCCTCGCCAACCACAGAAGCATTCTTGGAATGCATCTCGCCCAGAATGAATTGACTAGGCCCTCCCTGCCAACGCCAGGAATCCCTCTAAGGTCCAGAGTCGGACACCCTTGAGTGTGACTTCCATCCTCTGGTTTGGCTCTGGCCAAGGGCTGCCAGGGCTGCAGCTGGGGGAGGGGAGTGTTTTGGCAGGGAAACTGAGGTCCCCCTTCCCATGGCCTCGAGGGGTTCAACCCCACCCCCATAGGATCAGGCCAGTTACTTTAACTCTGATTTTTACTTTAAGCCCTTTTCAAACGGAAGAACCAAAAAAGGAAGACAACTGCCACCTCCCTACTCCTTTAATTGTGATGGCAACATCTTGGGACGCTGTGATTTGAGGGCTGCATGGAAAACTCACCACTTTTTCAGGAAAGCCAAAGTCCCTTACCCGGGATAATCAGTGGATGAGCCCTTGATTGGCAGCCATCTCCCTTGGGATGTAAACATGTGGGTCAGGACTTGGAATTTCCACCTTAGGTAGGGAGCACACTAGATTATTTCTGCTCTACTTTCATTTCTCTAAGGCAGTAGCCCTTCCCCCTCAAAAAAACTACCCGTAACCACCACAATGAAAAAACAATATTGCACAGATGAAGTGGAAAGCCACTATTATTATGTCATATAATCAAGACAAGATTCTGAAACTCCATTGAAAAAGATGAACTTGTTTCCAACCGGCCTTCTGAAGGATAAAAGCCAGTCTCTCTTGGTGGCAGGCAACTCTGGTTATTCCTCTGATTGCGTCATAAAGGGGAATCTCTATATTCACCCCAGAGTTAGTTCTAAAAGAAGCAAGGAACTTCAAGTTCACAAATAGTCTTTCAAGGCAGGTGCCCTGTATGACAACAAGGTTATGGCCCTCCCTGTCTTCAGAACAGGTAGGGCCAGAAGAGTTAAATCCTTGCCCTATATAATTTATAAACATGAGGCTGAGTAAACCTTTGATGACTAAATTGCACTGTAGAATAATAATAATAGAAGACACCCTTTAAAGAAGAATTAAACACTCACTGGTGACTTTATTTCAGCAAACTGATATTACTAGTTTTGTGAACTGGATGTTAATTATTAATATCCTTGGAGTTATAAAATAATTTTTTTTCCAGCACAAACTGCATTAGTTGGCAGAAGATGTGATGAACACCACTAGTACTTGGGGATTAATGTGGAGCCATGGAAGGGTGCGATAGACTGAAGAAGCTGCATCCATGTTTCAGATGAAAGATTCAGGACCCGTAACTGGGCATGGGGTCTGGACACAGAGCACCCCTTGACCTGGCTGCACCCTGGCTAGGTGTCTCTGCATAACTGCCGCAAGACTCAAGAAAAACTGCTTTTTTTTTTTTTTTTTCCTTTT